AAAAAAAAAAAAAAAGATTTATCTGACAGCAACATGTCGTTGAGTCTTGGTTGGTGTCAAACCAGTTTGGAGGGCTAGAGTAAATGAGTGATAAAGAAGGCCTGAGCTAGGAAATGGAACGAAGAGACACTGAGGAGGTAGAGTTCACAAAATTTGAGAATTGATTGCATTTGGTGGTAGTGCCGGTGGTGAGGAACTATGAAGTGAAAATCATGGGAGCCAATGGTGGTATTACTGATAAACTTTTAAGGAAATTGGGAAAAGAGAGCATTGGGCATGTTGAGTGTGGATCTGGGGTTCAGGAGGTAGGTTTAGATTTATGAGAGAGATGTGTACTTTTACTGCAGGTGGGCTTGTTGAAACCTTGTGAGTGGATGACCAGACCAGGGGAAAAGGTGGGAGGGGCAGAAAGAAAACTGCAGAGGGCAGAATCTTAGACAATTACCTATATTTTGGAGTTAGGAGGAGGAATAAATGATAGTAAATTAAGAGTTATATAGTACTTATTATGAGCTAGGCAAATTTTTGCATGCTTCTATATATTTATCCATGTAGAGGTGGAAGAGGATACTCGTTGGTGTGCTCTCAGAAGCCAGGTGAAGAGCACTTGAGGCTGAGAGCTGAGAAAGGACTGCTTGGTATAGTCCTTAGGCACTTGGCACCCCTCAGCAACTTGAGTGGAAGCCAGATTACAGTCATTTTAGGAAGGTGTGGGAGGCGGAGTGGAGACCAGAGGTCGACCCTTATTTTTAAAAACTTCAGGATGGAGGAAAGGTGATAGATAGGCTAGTACATTGAAAGAAATAGTCATGGGAGAGGTTTTTCTTGAATGATACAGAAGATTTGGGAGGGTGAAATTTAGGAATATTTAGCATTGGAAGTTTAGACAATTTATTAATTTTTAAAGATTTTATTTATTTGAGAAAGAGCATGTTGGGGGCCAGGCAGGAGCAGAGGGAGAGGGACAAGCAGACTGATTCCATGCTGACTGTGCGGCCTGATGTGGGGCTTGATCCCTTCACCCTGGGATCATGACCTGAACCGAAATCAAGATTGACACTTAACTGACTGAGCCACCCAGGCACCCAAGGAAGGTTAGACAATTTAAAAGAAGGCTGGGCCCATAAATCTACATTTCTATGGAAATGACTGAGGTTTAAAGGAGAAAGTTAATGATTGCAGATAAAAAGCTCAAAGGAGCAGAAGTGAGTGATTGTGGGAGCATGCATATGAAAGAATATCTGACCGGATAAAGGAAAAGAATGATAACGCTCCTAATGTGAACTCAAGATACTGATTTTATTTCTGCAATCACTTTTGAGCCCTTGCTATGTATCTGACAGTATGCACTGGAGATAGAAAGTTAAATAAGAGTTTTTCAGAACTATTTTTACTACAACTCACAGTAAGAAATCTCTTTTTCTTTTTCTTGAGGGAGAGGGCAGGGAGGGGCAGAGGGAGAGAGAGATCTTAAGCAGGCTCCATGCCCAGTGCAGAGCCCGATGCCGGGGCTCAATCTCACAACCCTGAGATCGTGACCTGAGCCGAAATCAAGAGTCAGATACTCAACTGATTGAGCCACCCAAGATGCCCAAGAGCTCTGTTTTCTATCACAACCCGTCATATATTCAAATATATATAACTGAGTTTCTCAAAATTATACTTAATCCCTGTTATGCCCAGTGTCCTCTGATGTCTTCTGTTCTAATCTATTAAAAACCTTGTTGGGGCTCACTAAATTGATTTATCCACTTATGGTGGGTTGGGTCCTACTGCTTGAAAAACACTGAAATAAATACAGCCTTGGCCCTGAATAAATATGTAGAACTAGGGGGAGCGAAACATAAATACTGTGTCTAATATGGAACCGTAATAAGTGAACGCATTATGGGAGTTCAGCTGAAAGCAATTAATTCTGCATTGTTGAGGTTGGCAGTAGAATTTGGGGATGATAAGCGTCATTTAACCCAGACAGTACAGATAGGGTAGGGTTTTTCCAGAGGAAGTAGTTAGAGAAGGTAATTAGTGCGGAGAAGAGTTGAGGCAAATGTTCTGAGGCATGACTGCATGTGGTATGTTCAAGAAATGGTCAGTAATCTGCAGCTGGTGCTTAGGGTGGGTTATGCGAGGTTCTGTACTAGGTGCTGATGGGAAGTTAGCTAAACATGCAGTGGAAAATACTGGTTGGGGCCAGAATGAAATCACTTTTTAAAAATTGTACTTAAAAGTTTAGTATATTGTGGGGTGAGGAAGATTTTTAAGCAGCTAAGTGACAGGTGAGATTTGGGTCTTTGGAAGTTGGCTGTGGCAGCTCTGTGAGGGAGGCGAGACTGGAGTCAAGGACATGTAGTAATTATGGTAGGGAGGGCATCGGGTGAGGGCGGGGTGGGATCCGTTATCTAGACGCCTGCAAGTTGCATTTCTCTAAAAGAAACGCCACCGACTGTGTCCTCACTTGTTAGATTGAGGAAACAGTGGAGACTGCTACTCCACACCTAGCCGTTACAACAGGGAGGAATTGGCTGGAATCGAAAATAATAGGGCCATTGGGAGAAAAGGTCCGTGCAGTTTTGGAGCTCATGATAGGTCTTTAAGGAGGTGGATGTTCCGCAGTGTAGAGAATAGACCTTATTCCGTGTCAGGAGACCGGGGGGAAGAAGGCTGGAAAGGCCTGCAAGCTGAAGGGCAGTTGGAGGAGGGCTGTTCACAGGACAGAAAGGAGGAGGCCCCTGGGGAAGCTGGTGTGGCCGTGCTGGAAGCAGTGTGAACTCGGGTTCCGGAAGGGCGGCTGCAAAGAAAGGGCGCATAGCTGAAGTGAAGGTCTGAGCACAGGTTTTGAAGAACAGTGTCAGGAAAATTAGTGTGGTCCAAGGCCAAGATTGTAAAAGTGAGGCAGCTAGGAAGGGTTTGTAACATTATGTGGAGAGTGAAGAGTAAAAAAAGTTTCCTGCTTGGTTGGGCTGGTTGGTGTAATACCAAAATTATTCATTCAGCGCTCAGCAAAGACCTTTCGTGTGCCGTCTGTGGGCTTTATTGGCAGAGGGGAAGTGGGAAGCTTCTAATTTTTCTTTTGTCTTTTCTGGGAAAAAGCATGGTTTTTTGGAACAAATAAAGTGAACACTGGTTGTTGCCAAGAAAAACCCTCAATAGGTGGAGATTTTAGGTAGGTCACTTAGCTCACTTCTCTTGGTTGAATTACATTCCTTGGCCGTGACGGAGTAACTGGTGGTGATCTTTGAGGTTTGTGGAGAGAAAGGGAGATGTACTGAAGGAAAGCACATGGACACATTTTGACTTTCAATAAAGGGTGGGTGTGTTGTGTTTTACAGATGTTAGACTAATAACCTCGAGGTCAGGTTCGGGCAAGATTCTAGAGGCTTTTTAGTGTAGTTAAGAGTATGGTTTCTGGGTCAGGTTCCAATTTTGCCGGTTTTTAACTGTGTGAACTT